TATATTCTATTTATGTTGCCTTTTATATAAGAATTATTTCTATAAGGAGTGGTCCAAATTTAATCTGCGATAAGAAAACTTTCATGAACCCTAGAAAAATTCTTTAAACTGGATGATTTTTAAATAAAAAAGTGCCATTAGAGACTTTCAAAGAGTTAATACCTAGTTATTTCAAATTTCCAATGCTTCTGCCTAACCAAACCGACAGACTTTTTGAAAGAGCTTTTTTAATTTACTCGTCCTAAAACAGATCAAACTTTCCTATGCACATGGTTCAAAAGTGCCCAGTTTTCCTTTTAATTAGTTGTGCTAAATAGCTTGGATTAAAGCCCGTTTCCCATACATCCGTTTATAGTTTATACGATAGTACGAGTGTTTCTATTGGTTGGAGATGTGTCAGTTCGTACGATGACGGACGAATTGACAGATCTCCAACCAATAGAAACAATTTCGTACTATCATATGAACGGATGCATGGGACACGGGCTTAATAAGCTTGGAGACTTGCCATGCCTACCGATTTCATCTCCTTACTTTTTGTCGCTAGCAAATTGAAATACAAATAAGTATGATAAAAAAATATAACATAGTAAATAAATGCTACAATAAAAAATATAGTCAAATGAAATCTACCTCTCCTAGTCGACACTTTTAGACTACAGGCCTTCAAATAGCACAGTTTAAAAGTGGACCACCCTGTATATAAACCAGCACTGAGGCAAAGTGTGGTTAATTTCCTTATCTATCTTAGCAGGAAATGATTTATCAATTATTGCGGTAAATTGTTTCAGTAAAGGCTCCCCGCTCTCACCCTTTCTCTACAGTATATACTGCCATGACATATACAATTACAACTTACCAGACAAACTGGTATTAAAACTGCTTTTGCATATTTATCTCAGTAATGAAAAACGCAAATAAAGGGTAAGAAGCAGCATAAATTAAAAAAAAAACACATGTTTGTGTCCATGTACTCAGATAAATCAACTATAATTTAATTGTTTGTCTCCTTTAAGTACTGTTTGGGTGTTTCAATAATAAGTTTCCATTGAAATATCTTAGTTTATATCGCAATTTAGTTATAATTTAAATATGTACAATTTTTAGACAACTGTGAAAATTTTACTTATGATTTTAACGTTTTTGTTTGTTTTTACACATGAAAAATTACGATAGAATTTTTATCACTTATATTACCATTTTTAATATAACGGGGAGATTTTTGGGCGGATGCCATCCTTAATGCTCCCATGCCTTGGATTAAGAGATTATCAAGTTAAATAAGATAAAAAGTGACGCTTTTGGAGCAACTAAAGCAAACGTTAGTCTTTCGCTAGAGACTTTCGTTGACCGATTCCCATCCACTATCAAAAGTGTGTATTTTTTATACTTATTTATCTTGGCTTCTTCAATTATATAATAAATAAAGATTTTAAATCGCTTAGCTTTAGAATGTGCTTTTATTTTCAGATTAATAAACTTGAAACAGAATGAAAGAAGTGAAAGCGGAAGGTGGAATTGGTAAGTTTTTGAGTTGCTTATTTCTAAAGTATTTCTTTTAAACACAGTAAGTTTCGAGTTTACAGAGTGTAGAGCTAATAATAATTCTTATAGTAACTAGTAATTTTATTCGTGCAGATATGAACGTGGAGAAATTGATGATGATTAATTATCCTCACAAGGTTTATTAGTCAACAGGTAGCAAATATCTGCTAGATTAACGTTGTAAATTTGACTAGTTTTCTTGTCATAAAAGCTAGTGACACTTTACAACAGTTTTATACAGTTTTAACATATTTATTGTTATTTACCAGTGACTAGTTTGCAGTGATATGAAATGTTAGTATATTTATTCGACTGAATTTTTTTCAACATTAGAATATATAGTAATATGAATGACTCGCTAATTTAGTAACCCAGACTCGGTCTTCCAAACAACCAAAACAGACTGGCTTAAACTTATTTGTTTTTTTGCAGTATAAAATCTATTTCGGGTTCTGGAATATGGAGCGTGACATTCATTGCTTTTGAAACACACAAGTTTGATCATAAAATCCGGCTTAAAATAGAAAGTTTACCCACTGTTTGAACCGGTGAAAATTTTACTGAGTCAAAACAGTGCAATGAAAAGAATATAACAACTAAATCAACCAAATAAGTACTGAATAACATAAAAATTTCGCATTTATTTTGCACAAAACATTCCTGTTTGGAACTTTAAGCTTGCAATCATTCTAATTTTATAAACCATTCACAGTAGAAAGCAGTGAGTAAAACTACATTTTACCACTCAGGCATGGTTATTTAAATTTATCCTAAATATACAACCTGTTATTTATCGACAATCTTTTCCCATCAAGAAAATTTTACCAATGTTAATATAGGTGTAAACTAAGTTTTCAGCTCTGATTTTTACATAATTTAAAATATTTATTGCTTTTTTAACTTTGTTGCAATCTACGATAAAAAGTCACACACTTTCGCTAAATGGAGATAATTTTTTTCGTTATTCACGTTACTTATGTGTTAATACAAGTAACATTGTCAGTTGCTTTCGTTTTATACTGAAATCGATTAGTTTCTACCAATTTCTTGCATAGATTAAAGTGTTAGCTAATTAGAATTACTATGCGAAAATTAATGTAGTAATGTGTAACCAAATCTTTTTTACTTATTAAATTAAATTAAAATATAATATTATTAAATTAAATAATAATTTCCCTTTATTCTGACTAGATTCAAAGTACAATCAACAAGGATTAACAAGAAACGCTTATTTGCTTAATTAAAATGAGGATTTAAAAAATTTAAGAACATAGGTAGTTATTTAGATAATTATATTCTATATAATTTTTAGCTGAACGTTTTCTGATGTTCTTGTAATATCGTGCTTATTTAAGATGTGAATTTAAAGTATAGTAATCAACTGAAATTACTAGAAATACAAGTGCTGGTTGTGAAATACCTACATAGTAATTATGCCGAGTGGAAATGGAAAAACTAAGAAAATTGAAATTAGAAACAAAAATTGTATCACAAGCATTTACCGATAATTCTCCAACAACTTTTATTCGATATTTCAAGTATAAAAAAAACTCTCCATCTGGAAAGTTTCGGGCACAACGGCAAGAAGGTGCATAGCTAAAGACTACAAAGCCTCTCTTCTCTCATAAATGCTTCTAGCTTCTATTCTTCTTCTAAATATATGAGATTATGATGACTTCCCAAAATTGATAATTAAATAAAACAGAAAATGCGAACGAATGCTATCATTATGAACATACTTTTAGGTAACATATCGACCAGATATGTCATTTGCGTCCTTGGATCTATAGGTTTAGGAATAATCTATGGACTAAAAACGAATTTTCATGTTGCCATCGTGAGTATGGTAAATCATACCGCTGTAGCAGGAGGAAGCAGTCATGATGGAGCGGCCAAAGAGGTAAATATTTCAATCGATTCAATTCAACTTTATTGAATGCTTTGCCAGCATATTTGAACTATTTTTCTTATGAGACTCCAATCAAATTCAATCTGGACTACTTACCAAACCGTCGGTTTACACGTGCGAAATTTAGTAATAAAAACGCCGTAAAGATAAGTGATCTATTGTGACATTTTTAGCTCACCAGCAAGGATAATATTGTTCAATTGGCCAATTATTAAGCAGATTAAATGGTGCTGCTGACCTAGTTGCCAAAAATTATCATCCAAATTTAATGGACATACAATGTGTTTATACATAAGAAGAAATAACTCTTATAAAATCACATCTGTAGACTTAACATTTTCGATTGTTTCTAATAAATTTTCGTATTTCGTCACGTACCGATCAATGCATCTATAAAAAATATTATTTAACTGATGGTCCAGAATTCACCTGGTCTATTGCTGTTTAAAACCAAGCAAGTTAAATGAATTACTTTAAAATTGTTTCTCTATAACGTATATTGCTAAACCGTTTTTAACTCTAAAACTAAGAGTGTTTTAGGATGGACCCTTTGTCTGGTCTAAAACAGTTCAGGGCTTTCTGCTGAGCTCCTACTTTTGGGGCTACATGATTTCGGAACTTCCCGGAGGTCGACTAGCAGAGTCTTTCAGCGCCAAATGGGTCATGTTTTTCGCTATTGCTATTAATGTGGTTTCGGCGCTTTTAACTCCTGTTTTTGCCGAAATACACTATGGACTACTGCTCGTGCTCAGAGTATTGCAAGGTGAACACTTACAATGCAGGTTTTGATTATAGTTAGTGTTAAAAAAGTTATTTTATTGCAGGAATTGGAGGAGGAGTAACTTTTCCTGGAATGCATGTGATACTGGCTCATTGGGCCCCTCCAACTGAAAGGAGTGTAATGAGCAATATCGTTTATGCTGGGACTGCCTTGGGGACAGTTGTAAGTATGCAGTAGACAAAAGCTTAACACAAAGCAACGTTTAGCATACAAAAAATAACTTCTTGTGTTGGGGTAGATGATTCTTTGGCTACACTTTTTTAATTTGATGAACGTTTGAGATTTATATGGTTTTTGTACTTTTAGCGTCTAAAGTATATCCATGATCAGTCTTAATCGTGTCCTGTTTTGGAACCAACTTTCAGTTTGTTATTGTCTATTTTAAATAGTACTTATTGCAACTTTAATCGCGTTTAATAAACAAAATCAATTTACTTAATTTGTCTGCTACCAAATGAATAGAACGTTAGTGAGAATGCAGAAATGAAAAGACCACATAACACCAATAAAAAGGCAGGATTTACAGAAACGCATTTTTAAAATGGATGAGACGAGATCAATCTAGAAGAGTATCTAGAAAAAAATTTTACCGATCTGAAAAATGTATCTTCTTCTCCACGAGACTATTATACTTCAGGAAAGATATTGAAAACAATACGTAATAAGCCGGCTAATACAACGCCTACATTTACAACCCATAAAAATCAATTAAAATTGGATTACATGCTGTGGCGCGATCCACAGCGCACATTAAGCATGAATACAAAAATACCTACGATTTCCTTTTTTCAATCATTCAATTTTTTTATAACGTGGTCAAAGTAATAAAACTACCGGGATATTTTTCAGAAAGACTATGAAATTTATAAAGTTGATTAGATGAT